GCTGACTCATCGACAGAGCGCATAGGGCCCTACATGCCCAAAGAGAGGACAATGCAAGGCCCATAGTGCGCTTCCTCCATTTCCAAACGAAGGAGGCAGTGCTGAGACAAGCCCGGGAGACCCCGGTGAAATACAACGACAAAGAAATCGCACTATATCAAGACCTGGCTCTCTCACCCTCCAACGCAGGAGAGAATGGCGGCCAGTCACAGATTTGCTAAGGGTCGACGCAGTTAGGTACGCGTGGGGTCACCCCTTCAAATGCTGGTGTTCAAGCAAGGCAGACCCCACGTCCTCCTACCAGGTGCAAACTCAGTCCCCTTCCTACCTAACAATTTCATTCTGCCTACCTCCGCGCTCCCAACTCTACAAGCACTGCCACGAGACTGGTACGAAGCCGCAGAGTAGGACCAACCCGAACAATCACCCACAACCTGGCCTTAACACAGCCCCCACCCCCCAGCAACATGGACGCAGACCTACCACAAGCTGAGTCTACCACAAACCCCTCGCGAAAGAACAGGGCAACCCCCACCTGTACTCCACGGATGACCAGCAACAACAAGAGGGAGAAGCTCAAGCGATCAGCAGCTCCCTCAACCACCCGCTACACCCGAATCCTCGGAAACATGTTGCAACTTACCTCCACATGATTGCCACTGCAGACCGGAGAGGAACCCTCCCAGCATGGTGTTAGACAGGGGCCGACCAACGAAGATCACAACGGTGCAGCAGACCTAAAAAGCCCACGTCTGACCATAGACTAATTAACATGCTGCTATCGCCCCCCAAGACCGGACTAAGTCGCTCCTTAACGGAACTGTAATGTATTGTATATGTAATGCACCCCAGCCCCCGCCCATCCCATATCTTGGTCAACAACCGACCTAACGAGCATACTGAACAAATATTTCACCAACACAGCTGATGTGGGGAGCAGAGGTGGGAGAGGATCTCGCCCGGCACCATGACCCAACACCAACGATTCATCAGAGACCTCCACACCTCACTAACATGGCGAAGATATGAAGATATCCTCACTTAATGTCAAGGGCCTTAACACTCCTCGCAAGTGACGTACATTATTCAGGGAACAAAAAAGATTAAACCCAGACATCGCATTCATCCAAGAGACACACATACCCAGATCCGCCAGGTCTCTCTCCGCGATCATATATACTGTGTAGACACAGAGGCACGAGCCTTTCAAAAAACGAAACGGAGAGGAAATCCTGGTCCACAAGAGATGCCCGATACATCTCACCCACACAACAATAGACCCAGAGGGCAGATATGTTATAGCAACAGGGCACAGCCTATACACTTGATCAATATATACGCTCCCAACACCCCATCACCACAATTTTGGAACAATATGTCTGACACGGTCTTGTCACTACCAACAGGAGTTCTAATCCTGGGAGGCGATCTGAACGCCACTCCTGCTCCAGCCATTGACCGAAGTGCACGCCCTGGACTAACTAGATCCCACGGCATGGGCGCACAAGACAAACACTTACACCACTTTAGAAAACGAGACTAATCGACCGATGGAGAGCACAACACCCCAGCCATAAAGACTATACCTACTACTCACCTCCACAAGACACCTACTCTCGCATCAACCTATTCCTAGCCAACCACACAGGTTTCACGAAAACCCAAAAAACTGAAATCGGCTCCATAGCATGGTCAGACCATGCAGATATTGCAATTTACCTGGAGGGCCTCCACAGCCCCACTCCGTGGACATGGAGACTCAACACTTCCCTCCTAAAAGACCCACAAGTCATAGACGACATAAAACAACAGATAAACTCATACTTTACAGACAACCTGACACCTGACGTCCCTATGGCAATGGTGTGGGCCGCTCACAAAGCCGTAATTCGTGGCCACCTCATCAAAATAGCGACGCACAAAAAGAAACTTAAAACCCAACAAATCACACAACTACTAGACACTCTATATACAGCAGAACAACGACACAAAACAGACCCAAACCCGCAAACACTACTGCACCTACATGACACACGCATATCTATCAGACAACTACTGATCGACGAAACAGTACGCGCACTGACATGGGCCAAAAGGACATACTACGACAAATCCAACAAGATGGACACCCTACTGGCCCGCATGCTGCGACCCAGAGCACAACGTCTCCACATCACGTCCATACAAACCCCAGACGGCACGCTGAAAACTTCACCAGCAGAGATAGCGCAAATCTTTACATCCTTTTACACAGCATTATACAACCAATCCACAACAGGAGACACCTCTAACACAGGAGTCCACCAGGGAACCTCCGACTTCCTAACCCGACTAAACTTACCCAAACTCCACACAACAGCTATTGCGGAACTATCAGCACTGATCACCAAAGACAAAATCAACCTAGCCATCTCCTCCCTAAAAAGCAACAAAGCCCCAGGTTCGAGACAAACTGCTCCCACACATGGAAACCCTATTCCAAGACCTAATGAAAGGGGCTCCCCCTGCTAAAGACATGACAAAAGCACACATCATACTCCTACCCAAACCAGACCATGACCACACCCAACCAGAGGCATATAGACCGATATCACTCATAAATCATGATAGCAAAATAATAGCTAAGATATTGGCAACACGACTCAACCCACACCTGACCCACCTGGTCCACGCATACCAGGTGGGGTTTATCCCCAGCAGACAACTATTCGAAAACACCAGACGAAATATGGACATAATCTGGACACTCACCACAGACAAAATACCGTCCCTAGCTCTCTCACTAGACGCTGAAAAAGCGTTTGACCGCGTAAGCTGGCCCTACATATTCACACTACTGGAACACATAAATATACCTCCCCTTTACATTACGGCAGTACGAGCACTATACACAAATGTAACAGCACAAATAAAGATAACAGGGGCAACTAGCCCACACTTCAACATACACAACGGCACCCAACATGGATGCCCACTCTCTCCGCTACTATTTGTGCTCACACTCGAACCCCTCCTCCAGGAAATTAGGGAACACCCCGAAATAACAGGAGCTATGATAGGAAACAAAGAATTCCTGATATCAGGATACGCAGATGATGTTCTTCTCACCATGACTAACCCCATCCCCTCCATACAAGCATTACTACCCCTCCTCCGGACATATAGCACATTATCAGGATACAAAGTTAACATGGAGAAATCCAACGCCCTCCCACTACACCTTACACAATCGACCATCACTCAAATCACTTTGGATTACCACATACGCATCTCACCCACCTCCCTCACATACCTCGGTATAAAACTACCGGCGAACCCCACAGTGCTCCACAGCCTAAACTATACACCTATGATAACCAAACTCATAACGGATATGGAGACCTGGGCGGACAAACCAATATCGTGGATCGGGAGGATACATTCGATTAAGATGAATGTCCTACCCCGTATCCTGTTTCTATTCCAAGCCCTACCCATACCGGTCGCGAAGCAGGAGCTAACACCACTACAGCGGACAATAAACTGCTTCATATGGCAAAACAAGAGACACAAGGTGGCCCGCAACATACTCTACCGCCACCTCTACTTTTACTATTTAGCAGCCCAATTGACACAAATAGCGATGTGGCATACCCCCCCAGACACTAGAAGGTGGGTTAACCTAGAATCACTACTTATGAAGGTAGCTCTCCCACAATTCTACATTTAGACACCGAGATAACACAGAGCACTTCCAAAAACAACATGCCCAGCCATCACCAACTCTATCCAATTGTGGGACAAAATAGCCATAAAATATGAATTAACGTCCATAACCTCCCCCCTCACTCCCATATTTCAGAACAGGGCCTTCACCCCGGGAATGCGACCATGGGACTTCAAAAGGCCTCGAGAGAGCTGGCCTACAAAGAGTCTATCATTTGTATATAGGCGACACGATAATCCCCTTCGCGGACTTACAAACCAGAACAACCCTAACCCCTGCAGACTTTTCCAGGTACATTCAAATGAAAAACTATACCAACCAAGAGACCGTGAAAATAGCCACTAAAACTAAGCAGACCTTTTTTGAAAGGATCTGCAACGCAGAACGATACCACCAGGGCATGATATCTCAGCTATACTCCCACTTCTGCTCCACTACACAGGAATGGGGCGCCCTCCACTACACTGACAAATGGGAATCAGACTTAGGGGAAACCTTAGAGCTGTGATTGGCTGAGAGTGTCAGCAGACCCCTTTTAGTTCTAACTGATGGTATGAATGGGTACAGCTACAAGGAAGCATGTAATCTCTGCTTTAGCAACACCTCCAGAAGGGACCGGACTGTTGGTGTTCAGGAACCCCTATTTAGTGTTAAACTGATCTAAAATTGTGTAACACTGAATGGAGGGACAGTGCTTGGGGACCTTAGGCACCATAACCAATTCAAAGAGAAGAAATGGTTATGGTGATCACAGTGTCCCTTTGAGAATATGTTACTGCATCATTGCATTTTCACAAAATCTAAAGGGTTGCTATTGCAATTTTCACGTTTCTCAATTTTGCTCAGCAAATCGATTTGCAAACTAAACTGTCTGTCTTAATCTTATTTGTTTATTTATATCACAGTTATATAACTGAATTCTCACAGGCCTCTGAGTGGAATGAGGTTTTTAAGATGTCTCTAATTAACTAATAATCAAACAATTAAGTAAGGGTGGATGAAGCTTATTGCTAAATAGCAAAATGTTATATATTCCAGGTTCTGAAAATAATTAATATAATAATGTAAGAGCAATGTACTAGCTTTTTTCTAAGCACACAGATATGCGAAGACATGATATATAAGCATATGTCTGCATTTATTTTCTTGTCCGCTCAGTGTCCAAGTATATTATCACAGATAAATTTCCCTTCAAATGCTGTACTCAACATAAGCTCCTGATAAGATATACACATCAGTATATGACACATAGTATATACCTGCAACACAATACTACATGACAAAGAAAACATGCCTGCAATCGAGGCGGAGCTTTGCGCTTGAAGCGGACAGTCGCATGGCCGTGGAGCTCCAGACTAGCGAGCCGACTAAGCACCTTTTTCAGCACTCGAACCCAAGCCAAACTTATCCTGGGGCGACCCTGAGAACACCACGGACCAAATGGGCCGCAGAAACAAGAAGGCAAAGCCGGATAAACCCCGCCAGAGTTTGTATGGCGGCAGGCGCACGATGCAGAAGGAGCCAAGATGGCATCCCTGCACGGAGGCTGCTCAGATTTCAATGACAGGTCATCAGATGAAGAAGGGGGTGATCTTATGATGGCCATGACGATCCGCGACGCAGCCAGCAGGCCATACGCGCCCACTCGGAAGACACGCCGCAAATGTTCGTGCCCATACGCCAAAGCCACCACCTGAAACTGAATTTTACCTCATATGACTCACACCAGAACCTTACCATATCACACGTATCTTCCACTTTTGCATGTTGCATATAATCAGTACTCTCATCTCTTCCACTCACACTCTCTAGTGCAAGATAAACTCCCCTGATGCAGACCCGCCCCGGACAGAGCGATCACTAAAGGCAACTCTGACTCTACCTTCGGACGACCCTGACGTAAAAAAAAAAAAAAAGACATTTATATATTATATATTTATTAAATATATAATATGTAAATATATGTATATATTTCTTACTGCTCCTCTTTTGTTCTCCTCTATTGGTGTCTTCTCACTTGATCTGTGAATGCAGTCAACATTTAGTGTCTAGAGGGGTAGGTGGAATATCAATACTTGCAATTGTAGTATGTGGCTGCTGAAACTAAATAAAAAAAATCAGTAACATAAAACAGCTTTAAAAAAACACTAACATGTTTCTCCTGCAAAAAGGGCTTTATCAAAGTGTTTGCAGGAGAAACGCGTTAGTGTTTTTTAAAGCTGTTTTATGTTACTGATTTTTTTTATCTCCAATAAAGATAGCCCATTTATGCTATTGGAGCCACTAAGCCTATCATTGTATCCTATTTTATTTTATTTTTTAAATAATATAATTCCTTCCACTCTCTCCACACCCCCACTGGAGGACTTCAAGAGTGATATCCTTGGTGGGGATCATACCACCTACGCCTACATATATTGAACAATATCCTATTTGCTCTTCACTTGTGAGTATACCTCCATTTTTTTATTATTTTATTTGGTATTATCCAGAGAGCACTATTTTGTGTTTTTATCCTTTTTGTATATATCACCAACTATTTGAATACCGGCCTACTGCCATTGGAAAGGAGATATACCCTACTACCACTGGAGATTTTGAGGACATCCAAGGACCATCTACATATCCATAGGCGGGGATTGTACTGTCCAGGCACACATATCTGGAGCTGAGAATAGGCACCAGAAAATTGTAAGTGCAATTCCTTTCCCTTCATTTACCATCACTTAAGATCTCAACATACTACACTATATCCGTGTCTTTTTCCTTCCCTTCTCCATATCGCTCTGAGCATGGGAATTCCTTCATAGGCGCAGCTCCCTGATCCTACTATCAACATTTAGTGTCTGTCCGCAGCCATCCATATGCTTTTTTTCCTATCAATCATCTTTTTTTTTTTTTTTTTTTTGACACCACGGTCAACATTTAGAACCATAAATCAAAACAAACATGCTTGGAAAAACCACATTTAATTTGGTTCATGATTCAGGTACTTTTTGACTTGGAGTTCAGAAATTCACATTATTGGCTCAAATTTGGATGAACTGTTGTTCAAAACAAAAAACAAAAAAAGTCTGTTGTTTTCAATTTCAGCACTTTTGACCATTTGTCAGTTTGAGGATCTCTCTGTCTTCTTATCTCATTAAGGCCACCTAAATCTTTTTTTTATGTCATTCCACCCTAACCTTTGTTTTCCTATTCCTACCCAATCCCTCTCCCATGATCTGTTCTGTTATACCAATATGATCTTTGCTCCCTTTTTTCTTCCTTTAATTTGTTTTGTAGTTATTCCTCATTTTAATGCAAGCAAGGAAAATGATTAAATCAGACATCTTATCTCACAATGGCGTGTTCTCTTTTTTTTTGGCTGGCCCAGTGATGTCTATGTTGAAGAATTCAACAAATCAGTATGGTTATGCAAATATGTATTGCTGTTCGTAAAGATTACATAAAAAGGTAATGTCAGTTTTAACGAGGTTCCAGGTATAAAATACAAAAATCTCTTGCACCTTAGTTCCGCCCTATTGTCTATTGAGTTCCAGACAAAGCTATGTGACTTTATCAGAAAATATACATATGAATAATAGCTTGAGCAATAGTGCCTCATTTAAGTACAATAGTGCTGTTGGGTTTTCAAAAAGATTTTTTTTTAAATTAGTGTAAACAGTGTGTGTGTCTCAATGAATGAGAAGATGTTGCAATATTGCTCATATTATTCCAATTAATAACAAGAATTTGTCTGTCTTAGAGAGAAGGAAGGCAATTAATGTTTCAGAATTAATTTGTCAAATATTATGTCAATGTTGAACAATCAGAGACCTGGGATTTGCTGCAAAAGATGAATATTTAATATTTGTTTATATATTAACTCTATATATTTTTTTAAAAAAGTCAAGGCAAGCATTTGTAATGGTGTTAGCTTTAAATGTGATAGTTTGGAAGACAACCAAGAACCAGGTTGTCCAGAAAAAATAAATAAACAATATATGAAAAGACTGAGCCAGTAGGGGTAGCCTATAGTTGTGGGAGGAGTTATCCGGCCAATAAATGCACAGACCTCCACTTCCGAGACTGCCTTGTTCAGTACAAAACTATCTACTTCCATTTCAAAGGACATAAACACAAACTACTTAAACTCCAAATAAGCTGGACCTTGTGCGGCCTGTGCAAGTATTCATTTTACCTTACTCAAGTAAAAAAAAAACAGAAGCTCATGGGGCCCTGTTGCTGTTCACGCGTTTATTACAATAAAATTGTAAGTTTGTTCATGCGTCCCACATTGGGCCACGCTATCACTGACATTCAACATGTATTTGTCCCACATTCAGACTTTTCCTTACTAGGGTGGCATTCGCAGTTCAGTCCGTATTCTGCCATCATTCGGATATGGCGATTTTCACTACTAACGCAAATTTGCCCTCAGTCATACATAAATAGCATCACAGTGATACCTTAATTAGGTTCATGCTTTCATCTTATGTACCCGGCTCTCATTTGGCAATATCAGTTTTATCATATGCAATTCAGTTAGTCATCCTGCGTTTTAATGTATAATAAATGCTATGCCATATTCTATAATTTAATAATGATTACTTTACACATATTGATTGGCCTAGGTTTATGCTCATAATCATAAGTTCAATTATTATCTAGATTTTCAATTTCCCTACTTATCATCTTGTTGTTGACATTTTAATCCTTAACCACAACACAGGTACTTTATACCTGTCCGGATTACTGTAGATGCCCAACACGCAAAACTTAAGTAGATAATAAGAAAATACCTAAGATGTATTACCAGGCCTTAGAATGGCTGGATTTAACATAGAAAAGCAAACAAAACACAAGACAGGGTAAAGACAACACGTAGAAATAACGCAAACGATGAACAAACCACGGGTCAAGGAATGGAGATATCAGAATAGTCAGGAGCCAAGCCAAAGGTCAAGGAATACAGAGATCGGCTAGTCAAAAGGGAAGCCAAGGTCAAATACACAAGAATCAATACAAGGAATGCGCTCTCGGATAACCACAATGGAAACCATAACAGGGCACAGAAAAAAATGGACAAAACAGGCTTATATAGTCTAAGGCGCTTCCTGATTGGCTGCAGGGGAGCATGTGATCATGAGCGTGTATGTGAAACACCTTCATGATTATTACTGATCTGGCCCTTTAAGGGTTAAAAAGGGAAAACCTTAAATTCTTCAAAGCTGTGAGAGGAGGAGGAGCCACCATTAGGGGTGAGTGATGGGCAGCATTTCCATAACCACGTGAGAATGCCGCCGGACCGAGATGTGCCCGCCGGGTATGAGCGGACCTGGCAGCGGACACCTGACAGGTAGGAGACCGGCGGCATTCCCCTTAGTATGTGGGTATGCCGCCGCAATGATGTGGAGTGACAATACCCTTATCTCAATTAGCCTTTACACCATTCTAGACGTATTCCCATTAACTTTCCAATTGTGTCTTTATGTTCCTCTCTATAATATTCCCTTCTCAAGCTTAACCACACACTAGTTGGGCAAGATACGTACGTTCCAACATACTTTCAATTTATTCATTAGGTTTTGATTCCCCTACATTCCTTAGGGATAGATCAACTGGCTGTTAAGAGTATTGGGGTGGGCCATATTATTGCATATTTGTAATTCAGTAACGCAAGGCCTGCACCCATCCTCATGCGGAGGTAATCGTCCATCGGCCAAAGTCATACTCCTAATCTTGCTCCTACCTCTCTAGATTTTTGATAGTGCCTCACATGTCACAGCCACTCTTTTGAATCTCTTACTTGTCACTGAGAGGTCTACATTCCGACCTGTCACGGGTGGTGGTCTGAAGACCTGGACCCTTAAGTAGATTATAGGAGTCTCAGCGTGCAAATGGACTATTAGGGCCTGGTGTAGGGTAACCACACGCCCCCTGGTGTTGAGCACCAGCATTTGTGCAGCCGCATACCAGAACCCTGATGCAGCTTAGACAGATGCCAGGAGCTAGATGATGAGCTGAGATGTATCTATTACTAGCAATAAGGTAAGACTAGAATAGGCACCAAACAAGAAAACAAGACAAGACTAGAAGAACCCAGAACCGGAAAAGGACAGAAAGCAGAACCCAGAACACGTACGCAATACATAAGGGAAACATTAAAAGAACATGGGCAAGACACGACAGGACTGTATATGAAAGGGGATCCAAGACAAAATAAAACAAGACAAAAGATACAAGGAAAAACAAGAGGAGACATAACTAAATACTATATGTAAAACATTGTAGATTTAGACATACATAAATGGCCAAGATGTATGCAGCCCCCCACTGCGACAAATTTCTCCAATTACAGTTTGTCCTAACTGCCTGGATATGCATGACTAAATAAACAACAATAAAATACACACAGTACTTACCTGCAATTAAAAGAGCAGAGTAAATGAAACCACTGCCTGCAGGAACAGAATGAAACAAAAAGGATTAATGGAAAAGGAATGAGTGTAGCAACAAAAAACAAACATTTAAAGCAATCCAGGAGACTCGGAATTCCAGGAACAGATTAAAGGAATGAACCCAGAAAACCCAGCATAAAGAAAATCAGACATAGAATCGAAA